GACGATAGGACGAGCAGCCGAGCTACCCAAAGTGGGGCGAAGGCCGACCTTGCCCATCGCGGTTGCCACGTCGAGAGAGCTCGTCGAGGTCGAGGTCGAGGTCGAGATCTTGAAGAGACGCGCCACGAAGTTGCGTTGTTTGCCGCAGGCGCACCGAAAACGGCACCAGAGAACCACTCGGAGGGAGAGGGTGGGATCATCTTGACGATCGATCTCAGAAGGTTGTAGAAAAAGTGTTTTCGAGAGAGCTTGGAAGAGCGTATATCGCAAAGACTTTTACCTAACCATGAGGAAGAGAAGAAGGAAGAGCGAAGCCCTCGAAAGTGAGAAGTCATTCCTTTGCCTGAAGCGTGGCTGGAGCGCACCCACGCGCGCGCACTCACGCATCCATCCATCCATCCACCAAACCATCCGTCCGTGCGCTCGGTGCGCTGAGGCCACACATCGCGTGAACGCCCGCGAGTGCTCAGCTCAAACGCGTTGCAATGCACGCTCCTTTGCGAGAATAGCAGGCCTTGACCGACCGTTGGCATGCTCCGAGGCCACGACTTTTCAGTCCGAACGGTCGATGAGGCGAATGACCAGTGAGCGACGAGGTCGAGCGGCGCCGCGTGAAAGATGATAGCAGGCCTTGGTAGAATCAGGAGGCGGTGTGCAGGGCCACAGAGGCGGGCCCAACGGTCGAATAGACTTGAGGTGTAAGGCGAGCATTTGAAATGTCGTACTCGAATAGAAGACGCGCGGGCGAGAAGGTGCTCGCGGAGGTGGAGTGATAACAGGGGGCGGGAGTTCAGTGTGTGCGAAGATGCACGTGCATTAGCTACTCGTGATGGATGCAGTCCGACCGTTATTGGCGCATTCGTGGCATTTGTGCTGTCCCGTCGGGATGTGCCGCCTCCACCTATTTTGGAGTGGTCGTCCGAATGCTTGGGTAGATTCAGATTGTCGATTCCTATGCACGAGAACGGTGCACGTGAGAAGCCGTGACCAACAGTGGCGCAAAGGCTTTGAAGGTATTGCAGGCGGCGAGGCGGTAGTGTAGTAGTGCGGCGCGGCGCGTGCTGCTCGTGTGACTTGCGCGGCGTACAAACCTCTTCAGGCGCACGTCAGGGTTGCGCGACGCTGGGTCAGCCGGCGGCTTAGAGGCCACATGCCAGTCAAGCCTATCGCTGGGCATTCCGAATCCGATCGTGAGTCGAATCTTGCAGCGAGCGAGAGCTCTTCGTGCACACGTCGACGCCTTCCAAGACTTGAGAGACCTGAGCCGGCCGGTTGATGCACGTCGGGCTTGCATGAAGAGTAGCGGGGCACCTCAACGTTGACGAAGTTCGCGGCGTGGCTTGCTGAAGTCTGATTGATGCTCTGGAGCTGTACATGCACGCGGGTGAGTACGTACGCAGGCGCTACGTTCTTCTTGAATGGTGACTGATTATGAGTTCGCGTGATTGCTGATTAGCAGGCAAGAATGCTGGCGAGTCCTAACGCTGTGGTGGACCTTTGGCGATGTTCAAGTCGTAATGCTAGGGCTAAAATGTAGCTAGGTTGCGTAGTGCTGGCGTAGCTGAGGCGTCGGATTGCTGTGCAGTCGTCTGTGCTTGCGAAGTCTAGCAACTCGGGCAAGTGCTAGTCAATGGTGGCTAAGTATTCCCTCTCCTGGTAGATCCAGTGACCGGATGTCTTCTGTTGGCACAGGAACGAGCTTCCGAGGAATAGGTGCAAAAGCGCTGCAGAGATGGCTGAAGAGCCGGAGTCGAGGGCGAGGAAGCGTTGGTGGTTCCCATCGGGCTTTGAAGAGGTCGAAGACGTCACTCAGAAGCGTCAGTATGTGGAGCAAGATCGGCGAAGGAAGCTCTGAATATCTCGATGTTCAGGTCGACCGGGACGCGCTCAGCACATAGGCTGTCAACAGGCCAAGACCTTGCAGTCTCACCGATGGTGGTACACAGCAGCCCACATTTGCTGCTTCGGGCCCCGGGGACTGGTGTGCATACTCGACCTGCGGAGAGAAGAGTGATGTTTAAGGGAGCCGGAAATCTCTCAGCAATTGCTCTACTGCTACTCATCACTACACGGCGCCGAAGAAGCGAAGACTACTCACCTTTGCGAGCAGCAAGCCTGCGATGGAGCCAGGAGCAATGTCGGGCCCCGGAGTGGGTAACGCAGATTAGCCAGACGCCAAAGAAGTTGAGGAAGGTGCTTCAAGATGGCCCAATGATGACCGAGGCTAGGGACACTCGAGAGGGACGATGAGAGGTAGCACTGATCGGATGAAGATGACGGGCTCAGCCCCAGAAAGCTCAACACGTTGCTGCCAGCGAAGCGTCGCAGACAGGAAACTCACCAACCAAATAGCACTGTGCCAGGGTAGACTGGAGTCGGCGAGCAGACCACCAATGTCGTAAGTCCAGCGCTGGGTGTTGATGCAGTGCATGCTGTGGATGCTGACGCTGACTACTTCACCATGCTGGATCGAGAAGAGTGTATGAAGAGTGTTGCTGGATAGCATCCGCCAGAAGCAGAACGAGCGAGTTGGAGCGGTGAGCTGCGTGTTGGATGTCATGTGCTGCGATTTAGGATGTCGAGGTGTAAGACTGCGATTTAGGATGTCGAGGTGTAAGAGTCGTGAGTGCTGGTAGATGCTACTGTCGATATAAGAGAAGAGAGCGATAGTCCAGCATACATGAGGTGCGACATGCTACGCGACAGTGAAGCGGATGACGGAGGGCGAATGCTGTAGCCAGGAGACCGAGAAAGGATTGGATGGGATGAAAAACATGAGTGACTTTGCAGGCTGTGCTCGCCGACGGGGAGTACTGTTATGCTGGATGTCTGGGTGAAGTAGACAGAGGTAGGTGGGAGATGAGCGCAGCGCGCCGAGTGCTGCGAACAGACACCTAGCTTGAGGGCTATACGTCTGAGCGAGTATACAGCATGACATGATCAGCTTGTGACCTCGTGAATGACTCGATGTGGATGTGAGAGGCTCAGCAAGATTTTGCAGCATACCTCGAGGCCGCGGGGTCTCGGGGCTGAGCGGGTATATGAAGGGCGGCCATCCAGCGCTGTTACCTTGCTGCGCTTTACATTCTGATTTGCAGACCTTGATTGATGTTGCCTCAGAGCACCATGTTTGACGCTTGCAAGGGTTCACTGATGCATGGTCACGATCTTGGTTACGTTCAAGCTATGTGCGAAATTTCAGTCACAGTGTTGAGGAAAGGGGAAGGAGATGTGTATACGGGCTTGCGAAAGCTCATCTTGCAGCCTGCCTTATTGCTGGTTTTGAGCGGCTGCTGCTGCGAAGCGCCAAAACGCCCGCGCGGCGCCCTTGAGTGAGTACGCGCGCGAACGCAGCCCACGTTGATGAATCGCATCCGTGTCTCAGCCATGCATTTCAGCTCCGTAATTGTCTTCAACAATTTCCCTTTCAATTGATCGATAATGTCTACGCCTTGTCATGGCACATAACAGCAAAGACAGCGAGCGAAGAGGTGCGAGGCAGAATCCAGAATGCAGAGGGGTGTGCCGCTTGCTGCTTGTCCGCGGCTGCAAACCTTGGGCGTTTTTGCCCTCGCAGCTCGATCAGGCAGGCCGTCACTGCTTGCGCGCATGGCCGAGTCGAGTCGTGACTCTCGTGAGTGTTGAGTCTGAGTGGGGCGCCAAATTTAGACACGTGACCCGACGCTCGATCCTCCACAACGCCCGCATCAACTGCGACCGCGGCTGCTGCATGGGCGCTCGCATATGGCGTGCTGCTGCTGCATGCGGTAAGCAGCACGCAGACCGGCAAGCCAAGCTTCACGAACACCGGGCCTTTCCCCTTATCTGGTTGCATCTCGAGCTCCTCATTCGCCCCTCGTTGACTCACACGTCTGGCAGAGGTTGACATCGTCTGACTCCCGAGCAGTAGTACCAGATCGTGTTGAAGCATTCAATCGAGTCTCCCAACAGAAGCCCATAGACCGGTTCACGTGCAATACTAGCCGATCACGCAGCGCGAGCATCCGGGCGCTGCAGAACGGAGCTTCACGAAGGTGTAAACCCGTGGTCGTCACAGCGTCTCCAGCACCCTCAATCCTGCACACGACGCAAACGGGCGAGCTGCACCTTGCAAGTTCGCAATCATCATCGAGCGAAAGCATACAGCCGGCCCATCATGCCAGCATACCGACTCTTGCCTCGCATTCAAGCATCGACGTTGGATGCATTCAGAAAGGACATCTACAGACCTCGGTTAGCGCTCTGCATCTTGATTCTCTTCCTCGCTTCTTCGCCAAGCTCTGGTCCAGGCAGCAATGATGGGCATCTGTCGCGGGATGTAGGGCTGAATGCTAAGCGTGAGTGTCCGCTGCTCGATCTCGCCAGCCATGGTTGCGTTGCTAGCACGTCCAAGCACCCACACGCGCTGACCAGTCTGCTTTATCCGCTTCTTCCATAGCACAAGCCGCAGTAGTCGCACCACAACCAGCAATGGCATCGAGCAGCGTGCCCGAAACTCACGACCGAACGAGCGCAAGTGGACCCGCAAGTCTCCTGTCATCCATCTACTCCTCTCTCCCTCTGCGCGCCATCCGTGGAGCCTCCAGTCGTCCCCAGCCAGCGCACAGCGCAGCTACCAATTCGGCGCAGAGATTGCACACACAGAGCAAGCAGCAGCGCATCAACGACGACACTGATGGTACGGGCAACGATGGAACAATTCGGTCTCTCATGAAGCATGTACGCTCAAAGAAGCAGGCAGAGTCCAAGGAAGGTGCTAGACCAGGCGACAAGTCACTCCGGACCAAATTGGCCCACAGGAATACCTCGACGCGCACATCCTCTACGTCCAAGTCCAGTTCAGGACACTCCACATTCAGAATACCGGTTCCCAGTCTTGAGATTCTGCTCCACGCTCAGGTATTGCCAGCCTTATTGCCTCTGCACCTTATCTGGGCACTTAGATTAGCTGGCATGTGTGTCGAGGATTCCATTGCGACTGTGAGTGGGAGAGCGGAGGACCCTTCCTTGACTCCAAAACGCTGCCTTGCTTGGAGACTCGCGCGTTGACGCCCTTGAACCGCCGCTTCGATATTGCAGGGCTCGTCTACCTTTTCGAGTCGCTCCAGATTCTCATCCGCGGCTTTGGCAGCGATCGGCGTCAGTCTGCTGCTCGTGGCCTCTCCATGGTTCAGCGGGGTACTTGAGACGTTGAGCGCACAATGGACTGGCTGGCCAGACGCAGAGGCCGCATCTCTGTTACCGCTGCATATATTCGTCTGTTTGGAGGTGAGCATCTGTTAAGAGCACCGACTCCACTGTCGTCGCTAAGAACTTCGACCTCTCGCTTCTCAGGCTCTCGCAGCTCTTCTTTCGCTTGGTCTTCCTCTGCTCAAAGTTCCACCGCCTCAGCCTTTGCCTTTCAACATTCCCCGCACTATTCATCTTCCTTCGCCATCGCATTCACCCGCGTTACTAGAATTCGTCCTACCGTTCTTGCCTCCTGGTGTCATTGACATCTTGGCGGGGCGCAACACGACGAGGACCGGAAGACGAGGGAGGGGCCGCCCTGCTGGAGGTCGATATGTCGCCCAAGCTGCTTCGCCGCGTTTTGTGCAGCAGCCGCCACCAGTTGCTCCACCGACCATTCCTACGGCATCGGGTGTCAGCACTGCTGTGGCCGCCGGCGCCTTGCCCGACCAGCCTGGTGCGTCGTCAATGCACCCCCGATCGATGACATCTGAATCGTCGAGCCCTAGGGCGTCACAGGCAACGAGCGACCCGACGGCCTCTCTTGGTCCCACAGCACGCTCGAAAGCAATGCGGCTTTCGCATCAAAGGGTGCTTGTGTCCACGGCATGGGTAGGAGACACTTGCATCTCTCTCTGGGATCGATTCACCGGCGCTCTGATCTATGCCGTCCTGGTCCTATCTTTGCCCACGCTTTCGCCGGCCAGTCTAGCGCCTCTCTTAGCCCTTCTAGCTCTCCGATCCGAGCTGGGTAGACTCGTGGACGCTTGGTCCAGCGCTAGATCTGCTGCCGAGTGTTTGGAATTTGTGAGGAGACGGTGGGGAGCCAGGAAATGCATGGCGAGGGCGAAAGCAGTCGTCGCCGCCGCCCAAACATCTGCACGAAACGCAGAAAACGCTGCGCAGAAGGCGGAAAGCGAGTCTGCGCAACACGGAGAGCAGAAGATCAACAAGGAGACGATCAGGTCGCTTAGGGAACGAGCGACGAGGAAGAGAAATCAAGCTGCCAAAGAAACGGCAAAGTGGGCCTGGAGCAACAAGTCGGAGGCAGAGGTGCTAGATCAGACCTGCAGCGTCTGCTTTGAGTCTGTCCTGCCTGGATACGCATCCTCCTCCTTCAGCCGTAGCAAGACAGAAGATGGAGCCGATCCTACTCTGAACCATTCGCAGACAAGCCTCGACTCGGAAGTGGACTTGGATGAGATCGCTTGCGTTCTAGACTGTGGACATGCGCTGCATAGCGTCTGTCTCGTCAGACATCTCACAGCTCAGGCCAAGTGTCCAGCTTGTCACGCCAGTCTGAGTGCCTCTCCGCCCCACTCGGGCTCTAGTGGTCGATCCAGAGCGCAGACTCGCGTTCAGGTCCAGACACAAGCGCAGGGATAGGAGTGAGCATGCCGAAGAGAGGCACGAAGTACTTCGTCATAGTACATTCTTGCCAAAGTCCGCGCGCTCGGCACATCGATGACCATCCCTCGTTCTCAAGTTTTCGGCCCTGCATCACTTGCCGTTGCCTCCTCCAGTCTCTTTGCAATGCGTCATGCTTTCATCCGGTTCATGGTGGCATGTTTGCACCTGACTCTCACCAGGCGCGGATTGCGAACCTCTGCAATTGATGTGCTGACTTCTTCACGCATGACCAAGCATCCATCAAGATTGACATCATATCTGCATCGCATTGAGCAGTGATTGTAGGGCGCTACGCTCTCATCCTAGCCGGCACCCAACGTCTAATAGCGATCTCTCTGACAGAGTACAGATCGCCCGCTTTCAACCTCTGCACGAAGCGTTGTGGATCTCTGAGATCTTGCGGGTCAGCGTCGCAGCACCTAGGTACCGTGACGTAAGCTAGCACGAGTGTCTTGAGCACTTGAGTCTGAACCCGGTTCATCGTGCTGAACCACACCCAGGACTTCTCGCCGGATGTCGGATGCGGGATGAATGGAGTAGAAGGAGCAGAGGAGCCGTAAAAAGTGTTAAGCTCATCGTTCTTGGTCCCTTGCGAGTCGGCCGAGTCCACGTAAGATGGGATGACGAGAATTGCGAATCTGTTGAGGGCCAGGAAGGTGAGAAGCGAGACAATCAGCTGCGCTGCTCTTCCATCCGTGTCTATGTTAGACCGCGCCAAGCGCAGCACATTGTTCTCTTCCGAACTTGTGACTCACTCGGCATGGCTGAAGACGGGTCCCTTCTTGTACAGCAAAAAGTCGACACAGAATTTGATTCCGCTCTTCACTACCCATCCCAAAGATCTGAAATGGTGATAAGCAACATACTGCACCAAGAAGGGGTTGTCCGGTCTTGCCCACAGATGAGCCGTGTTCTCCAGATCTTGAATGCTTGGCGTCTCGAGTTGCGCGAGCGGCAGGTGTGCAGGCTTCAGAGTCGTGCTGCACAGCAGGGCGTATAGATCAGAAATGGCAAGCGTGCCACCTCGCTCGTCCGACACTTCTATCACGTCAAGCATCCCTGCCAGAAAGAAGACCTCGTACACGTTCAATTGAAGGACCTCCATATCTTGCACTTCTATCCATTCTTCCTCTACATGCTCCTCCACATGCTCGCCTGTGTGCATTGCTTGGCTTCCCTCGCCGTTGCTTTGTGCATCTCGCTGCTCTGACCGGGCTTGTTCGTCCTTGGGCCTCAAGTAGATGAGTCCAGGAATATGCTTCCCATACTCTTCTTCCGCTTCCAGCTCATCTTGTGGACCCTCGACGTCTTCCCTATCCAGTTCCCTCTCAGCGATGCGTTCTAGCACCCTCTCGTCCTCCGAATTGAGCTCGCCTCCTAGCGCCACGATGCCGTCTGGCAGCTGTGTGCCTGCTCGGACTGCCAAACGAGCACGGACGATCTTGGCTGCTTTGCGCTCTCGTCGACGTTGAGCTGTCAATTCCTCCGCCGTGCTGACTACAGAATGAGCAGGCCCGGGAGGGGAGGGCAGTTAAACAAAGCGACTCAAGATGCTCAAAGTCTGCGCCGTTTACCGGACCCTTCCTCCATGCACGCGAAAAGAAGCACATTCTCACCAAATTTGCCACGCGCTCGCTCCCTTTCCACCCTGACCTCTCCCACTTTCCGGTCCCTCCAAGTAGGCTCGCTTCTGCTCAGCGTTCCCTTGCCAAAGAAGCCCCGCTCCCACAATTTCCTCGAAGCATACGTCTGAGCTTTTCTGCCTGTGATTATTCTCCCTTGTGAATCTCTGTGAGGTCTTGTTCTTGCGCTCGAGAAACTGGCCGCGCTCGAGTCCTGGAAAGAATGCAGGTCCAAGAGAGGCGCGATGGGAGAGGTGGGAGTGACGTGGATCCAAATTGACCGAGTGAGCGGGTCCCAGGTTCCTTTCACCTTGCTCGCTCCGCTCCTCTGCGGGTCTTCGGCAGTTGGTGGTTCATGCTGACTAGCTCGACCCTTGCCTTTATTGCTCTTCGCCCCAACCAAAGCCGCGATGTATTCCCACCATCCCTCCTTCTCATGCGGTCTTATGCGTCCTGCCCGCTTCCCATTCTCGTCGTGTGAAGATACATGCACGGGCAAAGCTTGGGAGTAGACCTGATTCTTGAATGTGGATCGAGCTTTGCCTGATACGCCCGCACTAGGGTTGCCTGCTCCGCTGGGAACCCTTGAAGGACCGCTGGTGCCGACTCCAGATGCGGAGGTGGAAGGAGCAGCAGCGCTTGGATGGGGCTTGGTCTGTCGGTGACGACCGCGCGGCATCTTTGCGCAGCGGGATCGGCAAGCTCGATCGGGCTGAGATCCAAGTGTAGCGCTGCTTAATTCAGACTGTCGCCAAACGTGAGATCATGGAGAGGTGTAAGCGAGGAATGTCGCTGTGGAAGGAGCGCATACATGCATGTCATGCGGTCGAAGATGAACCTCAAAATCAGAATCGTTATTCTCTTTTGCAGGCAAAGTCCTCTCGCGCGAGTGAGCGTGCAGCAGCTTAGTCGTGATGTTTTTGGAATTTGGATTTGTGCATTTTCATGAGGGGTCGCGCTATTTACACAACCCGATTTTAGTAAATCCACAACCCGGCGTGGTAAGTCGAGTTGTAAATTCAACCCAATAAGCCGAGTTTTGGGCCTATTTTGAATTGACTTGTGTCTTGAATTTGAAAATGTCGCAAATGGAGATTACAAAATTGGAATGATTCAAAGCTGTGCAGTCACACTTTAATTGTTTTTGCTTGCTTTTGTATGCTCTATTTGACTTGACTCATACAGAATGCTTGACTTGACTTTGTAATCAAGTCTTGTGTCGACTTTGTAAGTCGAGTTTTAAACTTGACTCTGTAAGGTGTGTTTGAAAATCAACCTTATAAGTCTGATTTTCCACAAGTCAACTCACTAAGTCGATTTCAAAAGTCGGCTTGCTAAGTTGAATCTCATTGACTTTTAAAAAAGAGTCCAAAACTCGACTCACCACGCCGGGTTGTGGATTTACTAAAATCGGGTTGTGTAAATAGCGCGACCCTTTCATGAGTCACGAGTCCAACGTCCGTGCACGCTCCACGTCGAGTCACGCCATAGCATCTGCACACTCTTGACTGCCCTCGGCTGCCTTGCCTCATTCACCCTTCCCCATTCACACTCGCACTTACACTCACACCCTCCAATCCTGGTTGTCCGTGACCCACTGTCCTGAGCACCACGTCCTGTCGATATTCCCTGCACTCGATTGAGTTCTTCCTGCAAGTCTCTGTCCAGGTGTAGACTCAGTCCACACCAAGCCGACGCCTCACCTCGCAGCCGATCAAGATGCCTCTCCCCAATGCCCGGCTGTCCACCCTGTCCCTCCACACCGATGACCTACCTCACTCCACCCATCCAAACCACAGCGTGGCTCCTCCGCTTACCAGCAGCTCGACCTACCGCACGCCTCATCCTCAGTCCGCCTTGGCCAACGCAGAGCAAGACTTCGAAGAGGGAAAAGCCGATCTTCAAGATCCACCGCTCCACATCTACTCGAGGTACACGGATGAGACCAGGACTAGGGTAGAGAAGGTGCTCAGTGCGATCACCGTGAGCCTCGACCGCCTGTGCTGCATGTCAGCAACGAACATCTGGTAATTCGCTCATGCTCGCTTCGTCGTGCCTCTGCTCTCGTCTTGTAGAATGGCAACGCGCTAACTTACGCCTCCGGGTGAGTGTGCTACAGCTCCATGATTGGCACTCTGCTTCCCCTTTGAGGCTTTCTGCTCATGATATGCGCATGCGTCTATTCAATAGTCTCTCAGCTGCCTACGCATCAGTCCTCCACTATGCTCCTCGCGTGATTGCCCGTCGAGGTGGCTACTTTGGCGTGCACGTCTCTACGGAAGTCTACCTGCGGTCTCATGATGTCAAGGTTATAGACTTGGACGATGATTATCCTCAAGCTGAAAAGAGCAAGGACGAGAAGAGGCCTTGGAGCGGTGGGCTGCTCGTCTGGGTCGAGAGCCCGCTCAACCCAACTGGAGAAAGTCGGGATCTGAGACACTATGCTGACAAGGTGAGCCTTGTGCGCCCGTGGCGAGGTGCATGTATGCGCTCGCAATGCTCAGGGCGATGCATGCTAACTGTTTGCTGTCATTTGCGCTGGGCAGGCTCATGCTGCTGGAGGAAGCATGATTGTAGACTCCACTTTTGGACCTCCTGGGCTGCAAGATCCGTTCAAGCAAGGTGCAGACATGATCCTTCATTCGGGTGAGCGCGCTTCTTGTTGAATGCTCGCCAGGGGCAATTGCTGGACGCTGACATGTGACGCCTCTGATCAGCGACCAAGTACCTTGGAGGTCATAGTGACGTGTTGGCGGGTGTGCTCAGCGTAAAGAGCAAGCAAGAGTGGCTGGCGGTGAGGAAGCTTCTCGAGTAACCCGTCTATGAACTTCTTCTGACCGAGGATACTCTTCTTTGCTCACACCTCGCCTTTCAGCTCTGGCACGACCGCACATATGTTGGCGTACCGCCCGGCTCTCTGGAGAGCTGGCTGCTTCTTCGTTCCCTTCGCACGCTCAAAGTTCGCGTGGCTCAACAGTCTTCGACCGCTACCGAGCTCGTGCGGTACCTCACGACCCTCGTTTCGCCCTCTCACAACGCTTCTCACGTCATCCTCTCGTCCAGCGCCGAGGCTGCACAGACTTCCGAAGGCCTGCAAGCGGACAAGGAGATCAGGGAGAGCGGCATTGTGAGACGCGTCTGGCACGGATCGCTGCAACCTCGACAAGACAAGGATGAGCTCGGAAGGAAGGTGGAAGGCGGACAGAAGTTTGATCCGAAGGAGCAAATGAGCGGAGGCTGGAATCCTTGCTTCAGCATCCGAGTACGTTCACGCGCATCATTGCATACTGTTGAATCTGTTAGAGTGATAGCTGACAAGGCGTCACCACATTCGTGATTCGGATTTGCGATCACTTCGATTTGTAGCTCTCGGAAGAAAAGTACGCACGTTACTTGCCGCACGCCACTCAAT